GGGCACCTCTGGGGCACGAGAGGAGAAACAGTAGTACCACCTATTGATACAATGCACACGGTGCGAGCAGCAGTATCAGGTCCCTTATAAGAATTAGCAGACTAGACAAGAGTATGGTGATAGCCAACAAGAAGGCCGGGCATCCGCGCAAAAAGTGCGAACAGAGAGTGGGATTTGAGGTCCACTTTCCATGCACGCGCGAGGTGACACACTATGTCTCCAGAGGCCCTGAGGGTCCTCCGACCCCCAGAATCCTCGGAATCCCACATGCACTCACTCCCATGACTACATAGCCCCTCCCTCTCCTCCCTCTCCTCCCCATCCCCTCGCGTCTCTCCACCTCATTTGCACCACCTCATTTTCATCCCCTCATCATCTCCTCACCTTGCCGTATAATCTCCTCTATCTACCCCTTCTGTCAATCCCCTCTACCCCCTCCTGTCACTCCCTTCTATCCTAACAGCGCCTGCTATCTGTCCCTCCCTTCTTCCTTTCTTTTGTTACTATGCGTTCTCTAATTCCTTTTCCTTTGTTCCCGCTCACATTGCAAGGAACAGCTCTAGCTGACTTGCCCGGTACCCTGCAGATGAACAGGATAGTTAACACCACTGTGCGCAAGGTTTTTCACCCCCCTGCGCCAAGGCGCAGTGGGGTTTTCCTAGCTAGACATATGGTAGCAGAACCGCATATCCATTGGATGAAGGCGGAGTATAATAAATAATAATAATCCCTAATTCTTTATCTCTCTCTTTACTTTTATTCTTTGATTTTTTCATCATTTTAATCTTTTTTTTATTATTTTCTTTTTATTCAACATTTATTATATGAGGGTTTTTGAGTCAACAAATATCAACAATGTGATTAGTTCTTTCACAATAGTAACATTGACAGCTATTTCATCAATTGATATGATCATCAGCAGTGATAGCAGCAGTGATGATGATGATGATATTCTGAATGATGATAATGATAGCACAAACAACAAACTGATTGATTAAATCATTTAAATTCAGATTCTTTATAAAGTTTTGTTTAATAATATAAAATTCATTCAATTTTATTTTAACAAATTTCTATTGCCAATTCTCTAATCTCAGTATAAAGAGGTTATGATAAATACTTTCAATTCAATTTTTATTCAGAGATATAAATTTTATCTTCAATTTTTGAAAGATTTTAAGATAAATATGAAAATCATTATTTTTTTAAATGTAGATTTCTGATTTTCTTGATGGTTAAAAGACATTCCTCTGTATGAGATATTGCATATCATTGAACAATGTTTTTTCACATAATGATAGCAAGATAGATGTCATCTAGAGGTTTTAGAAAATTGTGTACTATTGTGGCGTTCCGCCCCTAGTCTCCCTTCCGCCCTGCTCCTTCCACCCCTGCATTATTATTCCTCCCATTTTTCCCGCATGCTGCGATCGCTCCTTCCTCTGGATTGGATCGCTGACGGGATGACTACGTATATTTATAGGGGCGTTCACCCACCCTTCTAGATTAGAGAAACTCAGACATGAATTATCCTACCAATTGAACGGTGTACGCCATAACTATGACATTCAAAAATTGAAAAATTTTTATATAAAAAAGCTTATTTTTCTTATTTTAAAACTTCATATTTAAAAATATTGTGATAGAAGACATTGTTTTTTTTTTAATGAAAACATTTTTTATTTGAATAAAATGAGCATCTGTTAAAATAGAGCTTTTTTATTTTAAATCATTATTTAATTCAATAAAAACAACTGCATGCTTCTTTTTCAATTTAATTTTAACATTTTTATAAAATTCATCAATCTCATTTTTAATAGAGTTTTCAGTAGTAAATGATAAAAATAACTTCTTTCACCAAAAAGGTTCATCTGCTCATTTTATTTTATTATTTACTTTCCTCTTATTGTTCATATATTTCATCATGACTCCTGTATCAAGATATTAGAAT